TGTATGTATGTATGTATGTATGTATGTATGTATGTATGTATGTATGTATGTATGTTTGTGTGTGTATACATATACACATGCATTACACATATAATATATACATATACATACAGACATGTATTACACGTATATAACATATATATATATATACAGTATATAGCCGAAAGATGCTGAAGGTATTTCAAACCTTGGCGAGTCAGTTGCACCAAACGAGTCCGGTTCAGTTGCCGTACCGAGGGTGTCATTGATTCCAAACAAGTCCAACCAATTCCAACAATCCCTCATGGCGTGTTCCATCGCATATGCTGAATCCATCGCAGTTCATTCCTGCATGCCTTTGTGTTCCATCTCGCGCAGCAGCGGCGCCCGTGTGAAGAGAGGACACAGAAAAAAAAAAAAAAAAACAACTCCCAGAAGAACTAGATTGTGGTTTCAGAGTAGATGGTACAATGCGCAAATTGTTGTAATGATATAGTTTCTTTGGACCCCATCTAAAATCATCTAAACATCTATTTTAGACAACTTGCGGTTTATGCCGTGCCACCATGTGCCACCCAATCTCAAAGCACTGTGACATGCCTGTAAACCCTGGAAGTCCAAATGACTCTTCTTGCCTGAACAATACGAGTTCGTGGAAAGTTCTGGGACAACCATCAAAGGAGCTGGTCATGGCACGTCATAGCCGACCGCACCGGGGCCGGGTCCCGAGGATCTTGAGTGACTTCATTGGACGGAAGAAGGTGCTCTTTATAGCCCTCATGGGTGGCGCAGCAGGCGCGGTGACAAATTCCGTGGGATATCCAACAGAGTAACAGAGGTTTTGTATATATAATGGTTAAGTGACCTGAACTAGGACCCGGAAAACCTGGGGTACCTATAGGATAGTGGAACTTGTCGGGTTCTTCAACCTATGCTGGTATGGACAAAATCCCCGAAAGAAACCGTTTTGGACTTCCCATGCCCGTGGACTTTCTTGATATGAGGTCTGAGTGACGAGGTCTGAGTACGAGGTCTGCATTTTCGAAGCAGAATCAATCCGACCGTTCGAACTGTCCTTGGCTGATGTTTTTAAGCCACCTACTTAGAGGACCAATGAAAAGTGTGGCTTTAGAAGTGTGATAGCGTGAGGGTCAGCAAAAGGTAGACCACCACAACTGTATTTTTTGGGGTTGTGTCACTTTCGGGGACCTTATCCATCTTATCCAGTTGTTGTTGCACAAGATTCTGGTTTGCCAGGGGTTGGTCACTCATTCGATGCAACTCTTCGTTCTTATTTGCGAAAACCAAGCATGGACGGTCCGCTTGGCTGTACTACCCTAATCTACCCTACTACCATACTACCCATCCACTGCAGGCTCCGCCTTGCAGGGTGTGGCCATTGCGCCACTTGGCGAAATGCATTCATTCGCTGTTGCGGGCTTCGCTTTTCTTCAGACAGACCGGCAGCATGTGCTTGTTCTTGAGCAGTACCTGGAGTCGACGCGTTGGTACCTCCGAAAAGGGGTACACTCGTACCAAATGTTGCAGGATCATGTCCATTTCATCCAAAAAAAAGCACGCGTCCATGGGTCCATATGGGGTGACTCGTCCGCCTTTTGAGTGGCATGATTTGGCTGCCATTTGGATCGTCAATTGGTGGTGCTGGTGTGTTTGTGTCAGAGGCCATCCGTACAATGAGGCGCCCCTTAGCAGTATGAATGAGTGCATCGGCACAAGGGAAGGGATGAATGAGGGTCAACCAGTTGTTCAAGAAAATTGCTCCAAACATTGGAGTTGACTTAACATGTGGACTACCATTGGTGGAGCGTGAACTTTCGTAGAGGCTTCTTGGAATATCTTGGAATCGCCCAGTGTTGTTGCAATGATTGTAAGCATCGAAAGTGAAGCATATGTCGCTGGTAACTCCCTTGTATCGGGCTTGAGTTCGGAACCTGCCTCTTTGAGAGAACAACATCAACAACATCGTTTTTTCTCAAGTAGTGAATTGGGCATGCGGATGTTCTGCGGAAGGATTTGTATCGCCGCATTTTCAGGCGAAATATATACTGTGTATATATATATATATACACAGTAGAAATGCCCTTGTTCCTAGTGGCATTCTTGCTCCTAGTAGTATGGCCAGGAGCCCCGTTCGTAGCGTTGTTGCCCCTGGTAGCTTTGCTCCTAGTAGAAACCAAATGTGGACCTACAGAGGTGTAGTGTAGTGTCTACCAGAGCCCCAAGTGTCCGGGACCATTTTTGAATTGGTCCGACCCCATGGTGACTCCATGGTGACGTGCCCGGTCTGACAGGTCGCGAAGAATTCGAGGTGAGTAAGGCAGATGAGCGGTGAGTAAAGCAGACTTTCAGGTTCACCCACCTCGGTTCAGAGGTTTTTACAATCCATGTCTCCCGGGGTGGGAGGGCTACGACCAGACGATCGATTCCATAGAGCAAACCCTCCAGGTTTCAGACCTCTGAAAGTTCCAAAGGGCCCATTAGACTTCATCACCCAGTCAACCAGTTGGTCGAAAACGCAACTCACGGGGGGGCAACCAGTTGGTACAACAAGGATCTGCATCTGGCAAGAGATGTGAATGAGAGTTCAGGTTTGCAGGAGCCAACTCTCCGGCAAAAGGAAGATCCGAATCCACCTCACCACCCTGTACTTGCTATCATGGCCAGACATGTGGACTGCGTGTGTTTCAATTGCGCGTTGCGCGAACTTGCAGAGTATGAACATCCAAGGTACACTTGGCCCTTTTGGGCCTTCCTGACGGCCACTCGGGTGCTCATTCAGGAGGATGAGCTATGAGGTAGCGGTGAGTGAAGTGCAATGCCCTCCTTACTGCAATCATCCAAATATCAGTGCTAGAACCAAAGGAGGGGCTGTGTCAAGGCTGATGCAATACCCGGGGCCCCACAAACCATCAAAAGCCATCAAAAGCCTGGATTTCCCATTTTGAATAGCTTTTATATGTGGAAAACCTTCCAGCACCCGACTCTACAGGTCACCACCTGCGACTTTGAAGTCAGTAACAGCCTCCGGAGGAGCCCTGTAGAGTCGGGTAACGTTTCAGGGCGGTACGGAGACCATCCGCAACCCTCCCCCGCCACTGGGACCCGTTCGGTTCGTTCGGGACTTACCACTCGGCCGTTCGTCCACTCGAGTCTGAGAAATGGCACTGCGGCACCCGATGGTCTTGGACAGATGGGATGCCACAGACTGGTAGGGCTCCAGGAGGTTACCTCCTCAGGTACGGTGTGACAGGGCCCGAACATGGCACCCGGGCCCCCAGTCCCACCTTCGAAAGGAAGGGTACGACTGGAGCCCGGATGGGACTACTGAACCACCTATGACATTAGGGTAACTTGTGGCATTGCATTTCTCACCTCTGAGCCCCCACTATACAGCTGTGGTCACCAAATAGATCCGATCGTGGCACGGGGTCCCAGGCATGTTTTTCGGGTGGATCTGATTTCCTCGATCTGTAGGAGGTCATATGAGGTCTCGAGGGGGCCCAGGTCTCTAACACCCACCCTCCCCGGACCGCGTGGCGACCGGTAGGTCCGTGGCGTCGCGGGCATGTTCAGCGGGATCGTGCCCACGGTGAAGGCGGGAAGTAGAGACCCTGGTGGACAGGGGTGTGTGTGTTTTTCTTTTTCTCACGGGTGTTTTAATCCCGGCCCGGTGGAAAGTGGAAAAAAGGTGGGGGGAGGTGAAGGAGCTTGGTGAATGACATGGAATTGGTCAATTCTTGATGGATGAAATCAGATTATCGTGAGTTGATTGATTATCAGAACTTGTTTGGAGTCCTTTTTGGTCCCTGAAGCTAGCTGGAACAGATTTTGATGTGAAGGCTATGCAAAGACCTGGAACCCATCGGAAGCCATAAGAAGTCCATCCAAGCCATAAGAAGTCCATCCAAGCCACAAGAAGTCCATCCAAGCCATAAGAAGTCCATCCTTGCTTTTTCAAGACCCTCAGGAGAAACGCCGAACCAGGTGAGGTGCTGAAGATGCTGAAGATGTCTCCTGCATCTGCGGGAAGGTCCAATATAAGGTCTAGAGTGGATGACCAGGTCAGGTGTCGGCGTTGTTTTTCCATTTCTTTTGAGGGGGGCAACGCCGTGTTTGAGAGGTATTCCTATGCACGCCATCGGATTTTCATGCACACCACCAACCCTATAGGGCTCCAACCATATCCTTAGAAGGTGGTTGGACCCCCCCAACCACCTTCGAAACGGAGGTGGGCCAGGAGTCCTAGGGCAAGACATACAACCATATGGTTCCTTTCCGACGGTCGCCCCCAACAGACGGCCCGGAGCAGGTCCCGGTCCGAGGGTGCAGACCTACCAGCAGTACCAGCATCCTCACTGCCTCTCCTCGTTCGTGGTGATCATTGGGAGGAAGGGCCCATAAGGGCCGGTCTCAAGGTCTTAATGGGTGAACTGTTGGAGGATGCTGGTACTGGTATTTGTTGGGTTGGTCCGCATGTAACAGTCAGTAACATACACTCCATGGGACTGCCATATATGCTTACATTGACCCCCAAACCACCACCCCTGGCCTGATCGGCATATTATGCCAGTCTCATGGGTCGCGTCTGGGAGTGAATTCAGCCGAAATTACCGGTGGTGATGGGTTTTTTCGAGAAGGACCGGGCACGAAACCCACGACCATGGTTTGTCGTGTGGGTTTCGTCCAGCCTCTGCGTATAGGCCTACATCGTGGACACCTTTCGTAGCGAGGACGTCCCGAAGGCGCTTTCGGGTGTGACTGTTTTTTCCCGCTTTCTGTTTGGAAAGGGGGTCAAGGGAGACATAGCACTTCTTCCACAACAGAAGCCTGCAGGAACCCAAACATCAAATTGCTGGCATATTTACCGATGAGTTGGGGTGGTGCCAGAGGGGTCAATGTGAATATAGCCAGTCCCACGGGGCTGGGAAATAAAGTCGACATGTCCTTCAAACCGAGTTGGAGCTTGTTGACTTGCCACAAACAGACATCATTCGGCAGAGAGCTTTTCTTCCCCAGCTGTTGACTTCGTTGGACGTGGCATTGTCTGTATCATAGTTTTCTTTTGTTGGGGGGCCGTGAACCAACATTAGTGAAAGGATCAAGCATGACAAACTCCACAGAACAACATACCAAGACCATCCAACATCATCCAATGGTGCCCAATTGAAGCCTACAAGTAAAACGTATTGTATGGATGGCCCACATGCCCAGACACTCCATGGGTGGCATATTTACATTGGCTTTACTTTTGCATTAGATTTAGATAGATTGGGGTGAGTATTGGGGTGGTTTCAAAGGTCAATGTACAGTAGGCATGTAAATCATTATATATTCATAATAGAAATTTTGTGTTCAGGATATGTTTGATGTCATACTTGTTTATGTCTCTCCTCGGGTGTTTGGATTCGCGTGAAGAACGGTCGGTCCGGTCCAGACTCCACGAAAACCGGATTGCGTCCACCGGGAAGACCTTGACCGTTTGAAGACGGGCGGGTCCCGGTGCCCGTGGCTGTCTTGGTCCGGATCGCGACGGGTGGGTCGAACGTAAAGGAGTCGAACTTGTGGGTTGATAAGTGGGTTGATAAGCCAACTTGTGGGTTGATAACTTGTTTTGCGAGCCAACTTGGGTTCAACTTGTGGTCAAAGTTGAACCTTGGGGCGGAGATGGCCGGTCTTGCTGAAAAAATCTCAAAGTTCAGCGTGCGAACTGATTGCTGGAGACTGTAGAAGATGTAGAAGCTGGTTGGAGTTGAGAAAGCCCTTGGCCAAGTTTGACAAACATTGCAGGAACCAGTTTAAGTTGGTTTTGGTTTCAATGGGGGTTCTGAGCATGAATCAGACGTTGTGCAAACATTATTGACCAACCTTCGCACCAGTTGTAAGGACAAACTCCAGGTGGGGAGCGATTGCACATAATTAGCTATGGCAATGAGACTCTCAGCACTGCAGGTCAATGGCGAAATGCTTGATATTGAAGTAACGGCAGAGATGACGGGTAGAGACTTAAAGCAGCAGATCAAGGAAATTCAGCATTCCGACGAAGTGACTCGCATGACTACGGGGGTAGAGATTGTTGTTGGAGATCTGCTGCTGAACAATGATGAACAGGTAGCAAAAGCAGGATGCACTGCAGATTTGGTTGTCAATGTTGTTTTCAAAACAAACCTTGTGCGATGCTCCAAGAAACAAGATGTCGCCAGCCTTGGGAGTCACATCGACCCTGACCTGGTCCTCGCAGTTGAAATTCCAGAAGGTGACAATCAAATTTCAGAAAGGGCTTTTGCTGCCTGCGAACGTTTGGCCAAATTGACCGTCCCCAATTCCGTGACCCGCATCGGAAGTTATGCCTTTGCGCATTGCAGCTCTTTGGCGAGCTTGACCCTCCCGAACTCAGTGACCCACATTGGGAACTATGCCTTTTGTAATTGCAGCGCTTTGACAAGCTTGACCCTCCCGAACTCAGTGACCCATATCGGGGACTGTGCCTTTCAGGATTGCAGCTCGTTGGCGAACTTGACCATCTCGGACTCAGTGACCCATATCGGGGACCTTGCTTTTGAGGGTTGCAGCTCCTTAGACAACTAGACTGGATGCCTGACGCGAAGAGCTCGCCGCCGTCGCGCGATGCGCGCGCCCCGGACAACCACCCTGACGATCGGCAGCGGTCGAGGGTGGACGGTACATGGGCGGTGGTCACGTCGGAACCTCTGAACCCTTCGGGTCCCTTGGTGAATCCTAAAACTGGCAGGCCTTTTCACAATATGTTCACATGGTCTGGCAAGTGCCGGATGCGGAATGGGACAAGTCTACAAGTTTGCGGAGCGAGAAGGCATATGTGAGTAGGGAAAATGATGGTAAAAGACCCCGAGTTGTAACTATAAACTTGCACGGATGCAGTAAGTCAGAGCCTTTACGTCTCTACAGTGTCTCATGACCGTGACATGGACGGTCGCGAACTGGCAGGTCTTAGCCTATCGCGACGGGGCTGCATTGGATGAGGGGCGGGAGGGAAGACCATGTTGATTGGTGCCATACACAAACCACCTCATGTAGTACCAGCATGCAACCCTACAGGTCTGTTCTAGAAGGTTGTTGGGCCATGTTGGGCCCATGCCCAGGTCGAACCATTGGTGACCTGGCAGTGAGGATGCTGGTATAGGTATGCGGTATGCATCACTCACAGTCACCATGTTTGAACTGTAAAATGATCCAAAATGATCCGTCATGCTTGCCTTTCTCGAGCTAATGCAGTGTTTGGGAGACGCAGTTTGCAGACGGATTCGATCAGGACCCAGTTCAACTGTTCACCAGCGGCGTGTCCAGCAGATCATTTGGGGGGGTAGGCAACCAAGGTTGAGCAATTCAGATCCAATTGCCGTGGCAACAATCATGAAAGTCATTAATTGCCTCAACGGCCGCGCTGTCATTGGGGTTCGCGACCCGAACTCGCCTCCCCCCCAAAAGCAGGCACGGTTTCTGCTCGCTTTGCGAACTTGGTCGAGTTTTTCTACAAGACCAATGCTGAACGGCAAGATATTCCATATTATAGGGCTCCAGTCGTACCTCAGAAGGTGTGACAGGACCCTGGCACCCACCCCAGTCCCACCTTCTTGGAAGGTACGACTGGAGCCTTAGGGTACGACTGGAAGACTGTGACATGGTCCCATGAGTGGTACTCGTAGTATCTCGTAGTCAGAGTCCATCATAGTCGCATGGTATGTTATTTTGTTGGAAGACTTGACTACCCCTAGGCTTCCAACAACCATTAATTTAACAGGCTTTACCGAATCAACTAAGGATTTTACACTACAAAAGCCAGGTCAACCATTTTTTAAATGGTCTTGGAAGACTTGGCTACTACTTCAGTACCAATGCCTTGAAACGATCCCGATGCGTCGCCGGCGTTCCGAGGGGAAGCCGCAGGCACCGGCGCGCTGCTTGGACCCTGAAATCCGAAGACCAAACAGCTGGTGAGCTGGTGGTTTTCGACTTCCATGATTCCAGGGACCAACTTGCCAACACCACCCAATACCCAGATGGTGCTTGGAAAGCACATCATAAACCACCACCGCCAGAAAGTGGGATGTCACCTTCGAAGGTGGGTTTACTGGGTTGTGGTTTCATATGTTTATGTTCAACCTGTAAGATGTTTCATCCACTGACTCATATGTTTGGTTCTGTTTTGTGGAGGGTAGTTTATGCATGTTTTTCCCCATCGGTCAATCAGAAGGAACATTCTGATGTAGAGAGAGGTCCACAGAGAGTCAGCTGTATTGGAAGAAAGCTGTTTCCTGTCTCGCGAGCAGATCCGTTTAGAAGATGCGCATAAAAATGGGGATACCTCCCAAAAGGACTAAGAAAGAGCATAAAGCGACACCCATGGGTAAACATAAACCAAAACCCGGTTGGGCCAGGGGGTCTCCGTATTACCCAAATGCTCCAGTTGCAACGTTCTGCAATGACCTCTTGATCCTCTTTGCCGCCAAGTACGCCATCTGATGAATCAACGACCTGCTGCAGGGGTTTGGGAACCCCTATCCTCCAATGGGCACCCCTTTGTGACTTCTGGTTGAAGAACCTGGTTGTCTGACAGTGTGACAGGTGCCTCCCATGATTGCCTCCATGCTTCGTCAACATACCTATACCAGCACTCCAAAGGCTCTTTGCACCTGCTGTCACCACCAGGAAAAACCTATTGGAGGGCGCTAGTATGCGCTAGTATTTGAGGAAGGCATAGGAAGACTGCACCGTATATTGAGCAAGTTGGAACCCTTGACATGCTGCAGAGGAGTTGTACCCACATGGTTTGCTTGGTGCTCTTCAGGCTGTGGGCTCGAATGCCCAATTGTGGAACCTGATTTCGAGGGGCGCTCTTTAATGTTGCAAGGGAAGTTCCATCAAAATGGCAGATGGTTGCATTCAAGAAGCAACCTATAGAAAACACAACATGAAACATATAGGTGTTCCCCTTTGGGGCCCGGTTCTATATGCAGCGTCTACCGGTTGACGTATTTGTGAGGTTCCGGGTGCGCTGTTTGCAGGTTGAGGGTCCCGCTGAGGGTCATTCCTTCCAGCACCACGGAAAGAATGGGTGTCCACTGATAGCCCCCTAGATGCCAAGGGGTGTCCATTATCCACCCCGACTGGGGGTCCAGGTTCATGGTCTTCTTTTTGTAAAAGCAGCGCCGCTGGTCACTGAAAAACCCGAAGGCTATGCCCCACGCAAAAAGAACACCGTTTTCCGCCTCAACGCCCAGCCCCCCACGCCCGTCCGTCGCCCGCCATGACGGCCCGGCCCGGAGGTTCATCCTGGGCCCGGCGCTCGGCGGCTTCCTGGCCGCGCGGTTCCTGTCGGCGCCGATGTTCTTCTCGGCGCTGGCAAGCAGCGGCGCGGCGCTGCTGTGCCTCCACGTGCTACCGGAGCCCAGGAGCGATCGGAGGTGGAGGGAGGACGGGATGGAGACCGGTGGCGGGAAGCCATTGATTTTCAGGAGTGAAATAGAGTGAATAGCAGGCTTTTCAGTGGATATGAAGTGCAGTGAGTGGTATTTTTGTTAGGCCTGTCGCAGCATTTGTTAGTGCAGCCCATCTCGATGGGCGGATCATGATTGGAGGCGTAACAAACACCCCTTCGGACCGGACATTAAAGGTAGCTTGAGTTCGCCAGAAAACGGTTACTGTATATACACTTCCTCCCAGTTGAGAGGTTGAGAGACCTGAACTAGGACCCCATAGTATGTAATGGATGGGGGTTTTCAGGCTGTTCGACCTCTCTTGGTCAGTTGAGCATCTCGAAATGACCTTAAGTAAGACATCTTAGGTCTCGCCCGTGGCGCGGTGGTGCACGCCGCGTGCGCACGAGAGATTGCTGCTCTGAGGACTCCACCCATTGCCAAGGCCAAGAGCCAAACAGCAGGAGAAAGCCGATGGCAACCTTGGCGCGCAGCGCCTCACCAGCCATTTCGCGTGCTCCGCGTGCGTCGCCGTAGGCCGAGCATGGCTGAGCCCGTTCCGTGCCGGTTTTGGGGGTGAACATCCAACCGCGGGGCTTGCGACGGGTCGCGGTGGTTGCGACGGGTCGCGGCCGGTGGTTTTTCTGAAGAAGCAGAATCCAATGGACCAACCCAATGAAGTGGTTGACTTTGCAAGACCTGGACTGGGAAGAGGTTTCCTGAGACGGCGGGGAAAGACCAGACCAGGAGTTCTAGGGGGAGGTTCTGGTGATGACCAACCTATTTGCAGTTTGTGTTGGCCTTTTTGGTATCCTTAAGCATCCTGGAACAGCAAGAATGCCCCGGACCAGGTCCAGCCTGACGCAGCAACACTTGGTCCCATGCAGCAACCTCCTTGAGTAGTGTTTTGCATGGCCAACTCCAGTGAAATGAGATCAGTTCCCGACTGGTAGCGAATGAGTTCCAGTCCAACTGCTCAAGCGAAAGAAGGCCTTCGAACACGGAATCGGCACCCGATGAAATGAGGCAGTTCCAAAATACACTCTGACCATGGAATCCATGGAAGTGGAGAAATCCTTTGTTTGTAAAGGAAAGTCGTCGTCCAAAGCAGCGCCAAAATGCCAGCCATTGTCCACCTTCCATTGTCCATGTGTTCGTCAGAGGATTCCAGATGCGCGCCACCACCTGTTTGGTGTTCGGATTTCATGGTTATATGGTCATCCCCCCTTGGCGCCTGCAATTGTATGAACGAAATGGTACGGATTTGGTGTAGGTTTGAACCATGTCATATATAACTTGTCATAGTACTTGTCATAGTACTACCATCTTTTGGTGTTAGTTTAAGGATTTGATCGCGCTATGTTGTTTCCAGACCTCGTTGGGCTGTGGAGCGGGGGGGGCCCTCCGCTCAGAAGGCAGACTGTCCCGAGGTGCCATTGTTCTTCCTGTCCTTCATTTGGGCGTGTTCCAGGACATCTCCATCTCGCCGCAGATCTGGGTGGATGCGAGGGCAGCGCGAAAAGACCTACAAAGGAACAAGTCGAAGAAAGAGCCTATATCATCCACTACCCCTCATTGGACCCTCATGGCTAGGGTTTTGACCCTCACAATCAGGGTTTTGGACCTCCAACATGTAGCAGTTTGAGGGTCGATGAGCCTCTGGGTAATTACAAATTTGTGCAGGCCCGAACATGATCTGAGGTTTGTTGGAGCCCTTTGGTGACCGATCGTGATTGGAACTGGTGGGCTGGAGAACTGGTTTGCATGCCTGGTTTGCCTACGCACACTTGCCTTATTGGTTGTCACACAGTTGGCGGACACCTCGAATTGGATACATGATACATCAGATATACAGTCAAAAGAATTCACGATGTTGTGTGGGATGTTGCATCTATGATCTGAAGCTTCGGGAGCCGGTCTCTCTTTTTTGGCATCCTCTGAAAGTACCCGGGTCACCACCAGTCTGCCAAAACCAGCTACCCACAACTTCGGAGCCCTGGCTTCGTCGGAAGTGCTGGTACTTGTAGCATACTTCGAGCACAAACCAATTCATACCAGGTTACCCACAGCCCGTGATTTAAAAAAACGCAAGATGTTCACATACAAAAACCATGTGTTTTGCTAGGGACATCCAGGTTTTTGCCGGTTTGAAGGGCTTTTGGTAGAGCATTCCTTCTCAGATTGTCGTTGAAGACGGTGGAGGCAGAAACTGGCGTGGCGGGTAAGCGAACCCGGCACTCCGCAGAAATCAGTTCGTACCCAGGAAGTATGTAGATCACCGTGGTGATTGGGGTCACCCCACTCAAATCCAGCAAGTGGAAAGTTCTACTTACCTGGTTTTGTTTACAGGGTCGAAGGTGGTGACATGCTGGAGAGCACGCACAAATCCGCTTCCACCATGACGAGTTGCAGGGGATTCAGATTGCTTAGATTCGGATGGTTAAAACTTGCGCCACCAATGTGAAATGTCCAAAGTGCCTTTGGAGGGTCCAGGACCCTTCATCTCAGTTCTGTGATGCTCTCCTTCACAGAAACCCTACCCAAATGTTATAGTCTTCCGAGCTGATTTTTTGAACACGGCTGCGCTGAGCGCTGGGCATCGCACGGCGCACGGCGTCAGCGGTTGCAATCAGTTGCCTTGGCCACATGAAGGTTTAACGGGGTTTACCATGGTTTACCCTCTCTCAAAAACGCATGGAAGTGGACAATCCCTTTTTTGTAGAAGAAACTCGGATTTTTTTCCAGTGTGTGATGTTCTTTGCGCAAGTCAAAACATGTCGTAGTCGACTATGTGGTCTGTTTGGGGGAAACATCCATTTGTTCCTGGTTTGGTTTCGGGATTGCTTCGACCCCGGATGGCCGGGTCCGACCCCTCCGGTTCGGGGCCGGTAGACGTCTCGGGTCGGGATGCGAGGACTTGCTTCCATTCCTATTTCCCTCTCTTGCTCGCCCGACGCTTCGCTTTGCCCTTGGCGCGGCTCGGTGCGGCCGGGCAGCTCAGGGTCGGGTGCGACCGGAGGCCGAAGAAGGAGCGGCTTGCTGGAGCAGGGAGCGGCAGAGCAAGAGGTAGGAGGATGAAGTCCAATCCAGAATACATGCAATTGATCTACCAGGGATGTTCTATGCAAGGATATGCAAGGATGTTTAATGTTCATTGTTCCAATGTTGGAAGCTGGTTGGACTATGTCGGTTGTAGACCTTGGAGAGTCCCTTCGTGCCGAATCTGTTGAGGTCTTGACGGCTATCTCCTTCTTGGTGGCCATGGCTCCTCAGTTTGCTTTAGCAGCGGGTCAGGTGGTCTGCACAGAAAGGCAACACTGCAGAGGCTTTGACTGGCTCAGGGGGGTGGGTTTGTCGCTTTCCAATCACCGTGCTTCGACACAGTCCCTGAAATAAGCATTTACGTGGATGGCACCACCGGCCCATGGTCATTGGAACATGATCATCCGAAACCGGGACCAGTTTCCATGCACGAGGCCCATGATTGTGCAGTGTAGGACTTGGAGTTGCTTTGCTTGGTTTTACTTTGCACCCACAACAACCTCTCAGCACAACCTCCAACCTCTCGGCCAGGTTCAGATTGGTGTTTTTGAGCGTTGTCGCCGGAGCTCCTCGGTAGCACCGAAACTGAGGGTTGAAGGCACCAGTTGAAGCACCGACCTGAACTAGGACCAAGAGAGGTGGATAGTGACCTGAACTAGGACCCCACTGGTGTACCTATGATGATATAGCCTATAATAGTGATCTCCAAATAGATATATAGACACGATTTCCAATACATGAGTGTTTGGAACTACTATGTTACAGATCTATTTGGGGTCTATATGTAGACTTCTTCAATCCTTTGTGGGAAACCACCTCCTGTCCCCCTGGAGATTGGCACTTGTGGACCCGGCCGTTTCCGGGTGAAGCAGCACCGTCGGCAGCGTCCGGTGCGCCATGGGAACGAAACCGATCCCTGCGAAATAGGATGAAGAAGGAAAGTAGTGGAAAGTCGGCACTGAAATACAGGTCACCTGTCACCTGCCATGTTTAAGTAGACCACTGAAATGGTGGGCAGACGAATTTTCCAATTGCAAACACGATCAAACAAGACGATTGTAGCTACCCACGCCGCGACGTATACTTTTACCAACACCCGACCTTCACAGGTCACTGTAGACCTGGTTTGGCCGGGTGCTGGTCTTTGGGGTTCGGTCTGGGACGGCCTTCGTATCGAACCCCGTTCAGCAAAAATGCACTATAGCCTTAGTTGATGGGGAGACCTCTCAACACATTTTGCTTCAGGGAAATCGCAGGCCATAGCAGGACCCGTGTGAACATCAGCCAAAAGGTCAACCCACAGGTTGAAACACCAGCGAGTTATGACTAAGGACGGATTTGATCCAATGAGATCCACTGCAACACCTCTTTGGGGCCCAAAAAGCCGCGCAGAGAAGACCCAGAACTTTTGTTTTGACTCATGTTGCCCCACCTCGTAGTCCAATCCACCACTACCAGGCTGGGGTAAAATGAGTCATGACTGGACGATTCCAGGAAAAGAACAGGCTTCCAAGATCCCAGGATACGGCCTAGAGAAGACCGTGCTTTTGGGCTACTTGTTGGTCGTCATCGGCCTCGGCCCCTCAGCGCAAGATGGGAGTGTGGGCAGCTCATAATCTGACTCACACATTCCAGGACCTTCCAACAGGTGGCTTTTGGGCACCCCTTGACCTCTAAGAGGCTGTTTATAGACACCTCTTGGAAGGTCCTGGTTTGGGTAGTGACCTTTCTGAATGTAAGAGTTCTACAACTTGTTATTACCCAGACACGACCTGTCTGGGACTGCCATAGGACTGCCGATCAGGCCAGGGGTGGTGCCAGGGCGTCAATGGGGCGGCAGTCCTATGGCGGTCCCATGTGTCGTGTCTGGGTTATCACAAATTGTATACAATGTGTAATACAACTATATAATACCGTATTTGGGTGAGCTGGCTTTCTGTGGAAACTAGTTGCAGTCCAGGAGCTCAAATCATAGAGGATATCGTGTTCAGATTGACAACTCAGGGACTAACCAACTAAGACAGGGGTTGGAGGGATGCAGGTGGTGCGCAATTTATGATACACCTTTTGGGTGTGGCAGAACGTAGCAATGTGCCTTTGAGGACTATGCCTTTGAGAGTTGCAGCTCTTTAACTTGACCATTCCGAACTGAACTCACTGATCGTCCTTGATGAAGGCCGGTCCTTGCATGGCCGGTCCGAAGTTGACCGTCCCAGACGAAGTTGACCCACATTGGGGGATAAAGCCTGGACGAGGCTGCAGCTCTTTTGACGAACCATTCCCAGAGTTGGTGACCCACATTGGGGGAATTGTGTGTTGCGTAGCTCCGCAGGTGTGATCATGTCCACTTCATTTGGCAGATTGACCAGTGGCCGGGAGCCTTCTGGATTCGCCGGGAGCCGAACCGAATTCATACGACTGGACCTTCCGACTGTTTTGGGACCCTAACAGGTGGTGAACCTGGGCACCGGACTTGCCACCAGGAAACACCTGTGAAGTCGGGTCCAGGTAGGTGACGTTTGGGGAGCTGTGGCCGGTATGATCTCCGCAGCCATTGGTCGATTGTGGCCCACCCTCCTGCAGCACTCCAAGGAAGCCTAGTGACGTGGCCTGACAGCAGCTCCCTGCCACAGATCTTTGCCTCTGCCGCCGTGTACGGCGCAGGCGAGGTTGCGGAGGGGGACCAAGAGAGGTGGTAAGACCTGAACTGGGGCCCTGTAGTCGTACATATGGGACTGTTCAACATCTCTAGGGATGTTCACACGTTATTCGGATGTGAAGTGCTTCAAGTCTCAACACACATCTCCACAACGGAAGGAGGACCCTAGGGTCAGGCGTTTCAAAAGGAAGCCATTACTTTTTGCAGTGGAAGTGGCTACTCCAGGACCTTGATAGGGTGGCAACGAAATACTCTGGCCAGTCCCGGGGAGGACTGGAGACACGGGGAGGACTGGAGAGGGGCGACCTTGGGCTGTCCGATTCTGGGGTTCAAAGGTTCCCACTGGATCCCAGTTACCACTATATAAGGAACCAGGGATTCCAAGTCTATGGTTTTAGTCTTTGGAACCACTGGTTGCAAGCTATAGTGGTAACTGGATCCTCTGGGGTTATAGAAGGAGGGTGGTGACTTTTGTTGTGCCAATGTATGACTTTGGGGGGCGTGGATGTCCTCCATCTATCTAGTGGTAGCTTCTTCACCAGTAGGTTCAACTTTTAATCGGGATGATTGAACCCACTGACCATCCTATCGGCTCGTCCTGGGTGAAGCGACTTGGTCGTTCCTCGATCCCAGCACGCTGCGATGCTCCAAGCCTCCAAGCACAGAACCAGCTTGAATTACTGTAACTTACAAACATTCAACTTTTTCTTATGGAGTTATATATACTTCTTGCGATGGCCTCCAATCTGCAAGTGATGGCCTCCAACCTAATTCGCAATCACCTCCAACCGAATAGCGCCAGCCAAGTTTACACCCAAACTGTCCAGTAGTTCAATAGAAATCGGGGTGCCCTCCCTTGGAACTCAAGAAGGGCCCATAAACCGAAGGCCACCATCATCCACTCCAAAAGCAGCATCATGGACAAGATCATACAAGCACCACAGCAAACCACCGCCTCCCCCCCTGGACTGATGGGGAGTCAGACCTGGATCTTCCAAATGTATATACCCTAGGTACGTCCAGTTCGACTATTTGAGGCACCACCCAAGTGTTCAGGAAGTTCCTTTTCACTCGGATCACCGTTCGTCAGACCGTTTTAAACATCGTCTTTCCTGGACTCCCAGGGTCACCAATTGAAACCTGTTAGGGCCTAACAACCCTCCAAAGGAGACCTGTTGGAAGGTGCTGGTACATATTCGATGTGATTCTGGCGGCGCTTTTGGGCTTTTACAAAGGAAAAAGGTCGACATTTCTGCATGTTGAGTCGGATCGATGCCGGAGGCTCCGCGCTCGTGTCCCCCGCGCTGCCGGCGCTGCTGGTGCGCTTCGCCCCGAAGGGGCGCACCGGTGCGATCCTGGGCCACTGGGACGGCGAGAATGGATGGACTCGACTTCGGGTCAGGGTCTTTGGGTCAGGGGTCGGAGTCTCCCCAAGCCGGGACCGGTTTCGGGCCGGATTCTTAGGGTGGGACAGAATTGGATGGGGAGGGGTGGCTCCCAAGATGGAGAAGACATTCTCGATGACTTTGTTGCGCTGGGCCACTTAGGATTTTGTAGATTATGGGCTAGAGGAGGCGAAGGATAGGTACGGGTCGTACCAAATTGTCTTGTTGTTGCAGATTTGGAAGCGCGTGGAAGGTTGAATCCAGGAAACGAACTTTGGGTTTGCCATCCCCAATTCATTCCAACCCAATTCTGCACGGTGTTTATGTATATCGCATGCTGGGGCCGTGATTTTTGGAACTGACACGTCGCATGAGGATGGTCGAAGGTTGGTGCTTGACAGCTGCCCCCCTGACAGCTGCCTCCCAACTACAACCCAGTGGCTTTCAGAGCCCATTTGGAGGAGGGTCAGAGGTCGATCGCAAATTCTTGAGGAGACAGCCTTTGCAGCTATCATCCATATTGGCACGCACCCTTTGCTGGGCAGTCATGGCGCAGGAGGCCATGACTCGGTCCAATTCTCATCAAACGACAACGTGAAAAGGACGTCAGAAACATGTTGAACTTGAACATCATTGAACATGCCCTTCTCAGCCCCATTCTCAGCACCTTCCACGCACGGATGTCCTACGTGTTCTCCACATCCTCAGATCCTCCGCTCCCGTGATGGTCCCTCCCACCACGCCCAAGGCATCGACTCGGCGATCGTGAACTTCGGCCGGATCGTGGCGCCCTCCCTGTTCGGCGCCTCGCCGTGGGTGAACCGTTTAGCGGCGCGGTGGGTCGTTTGGGACACGGTGAGGATCGAGGTCAGATAGGACTTGACTTGAGCCCAAAAGCCCAAAGGGTGGATGAAATATATCAGGTTGGGGCAGGAGACATGTTCCTGAAGTGTTTCATTGAGCCACTTTCCTTTTAGTTTGTAGGGTCGAATGTTGCCATCCAGAGTGGTAGAATCTGGACGAAAACTGCTTGCAATAGCTGGTTACAAATGCAAAGTTCAAGTCCGTCCCTTCTTCTATTCATCCTGGTGTTGTTTTATTGGGTGACTTTTTCCTGGTTCCCTAAGCAAAATCCCGGTCGTGTTCTCTCCAAATGGATTGGAAGCTCGCTTCCGATCACCACTCCATCATCTCTTGAGTCATCTGATTCTGGGTGAGTTAACACATCTCTTGTTCGACCTGTTGGAGGTCTGACTGATGTTCGACCCCGGTAGCCCATGAACGATCATGAACGGTGGGTGTGAAGAGACACAGATCAGACACCCTGCCCGGTGTTTCTCAGGACTCCAGGCTTTCCCTTTTCACCTTTTACCACCGCACTTTCATCGCACAGACCGGTCTCATCGCGCCCTACGGGACCGCGCGCGGTCCGTCCGAGGCGTGTTCCTCTTCAGCGACTACGCCAAGCTTTGCTTGGGTCCTGCACGGGTGGCGACCGCTGCAGGCACCGGGCACATCGGGGTCCGACCAGTTTGGGCCAATGAAGGCGTTTGGGCATTGCACATGTTCGGACCCTCTTAGGGGTGGCTCGTTCGGTTGCCATTCGCCCGCTCTTGAGCCGGGCGTAACCGCACGAACCGGCGTAACGCTGGGCTGGTCGTTTTCGACGCGCGACGTGATGGGGAGGCCGATAGCAGAATGGAATACAATTACGAAAGCTAGCCAGTTCGTACATGCGAATGAAATGAGTCTTTAGGGGGTTCCTCGTGGCTTTCGTTCCCCCCTTCTCAGGTGTTGTTTACCCGCAATACCTGTTTAAGGAATGGGTTTCCCTACCAAGAATATCAAGAATGAGGTGTTCCTGAGTCAAGGAACGCCACGTTCTTGGCGTGTGGACGCAGTGTCACCCGCAGAGTCAAGGCGTGAAAAAATAGAAGAAGAGGTGGATTTTGGTACAATGAATATTGTATTATATTATATGCAGGAAATAGAGAGGTTCAGGAGTTCCAAAGCGGTATTTTTTGTTCAGTCCCTGTTAGGTCTTTGTTGGCACCCGGACGCCTTCGTCCGCAGGTCTCGTGGCCTTCGTCCTGGCCGCGAAGGAGGGACGGGCCGCGGAGGGGGCGGATGGGACGAAGCGCAGTGGGTGAGGCGAGAAATCATGGGAAGCTTGACGGGCTTGGCTTCAGGGAAGTGATAGTTACATGTATTTACTGTATGTTCTGAATGAAAACCATTTCAGCCCCTCTGAGGCAAAGATGCAGAACATCATGCACAGTTTGGCACCTGTGCTTTCAACTCCCCCAGCTGCTGTTGTTGTTGTTGTTGTTGTTGTTGTTGTTGTTGTTGTTGTTATTGTTATTGTTGTTGTTATTGTTGTGCAATTGTTGTTATTATTCTTCATATTATTCTTATTCTTCTTGTTCTTGATCTTGTTGTTGTTGTTGTTCTTGTTCTTGTTCTTGTTCTTGTTCTTGTTGTTGTTCTTCTTCTTCTTGTTTCCCCCATGAGCTCGGGCATTCCTTGTTTCGAGAACCTGCCCATGAGCTTCCATGTGAGACCATGTCTGGGGGAGGTGCCTCTATCCACCTACACTCACTGAATGGCACAGTACACCAGGGGTGTGCGAACCCACCTGTATCCCAGACACTCCATGTATGGTACATACATATATATATATTTTTTGCCTACTGCCTACATTGACCCCTGAAACACCCCAATGTATGTAAATCTGCCATACATGGAGTGTTTGGTTATTGTTTGTGTTCCTTGATGTGTTCACTTCCATGTGCCCAAGCTTCGATGCGAGATCTTGCATGGCCAAAGAGCCTGTGATGGCAGAGTTGCTGACCAAGCACTGTCAGATTTGAGTAGAGTCAATTTGATCCAAGTGATCCAAGTTGTAAATTTGAGTTGCTTCCGATCTGCGGTCCCTATTTTCAGCAAGGCATAGCAGGTCCTCATCGAGTTGAAGAGTGGAAAAGGCAACACAATGGGAACTGACAATTCCTGCCACCCCTGAAGCTTTCAGCCATTCTTTCCACCAAGGATGCCAATTGTGCAGCAAAATCTTTCAAAATATAGTAATCAATTGGGGTGAGTTCACCCCATTAACTTTTTACTTTGTTTTTTGTTAAACTGTCACACTCAGAAGGCTTAGACATCACAACGAGTCTCCAAAGATGTTTGCCGACGAACAGATTGCATGCGGTGGATCGGAACGCGGCAAGCGTTGCGCGCCCGTGCACGCACGAAACACGAGAGGCCGGCGGATAAAATGATGGCGAGATGTGGATGTGTGTGCATGTCAAAGTGCAGATCCTCAACAGGCTGTCCCCAGTGTTGTCCCCTGCCTCATCACCGTGGGGGAACCGACGAACTCGGCCAGTCAGGTGGTCAGGTGAAGCCTTTGTTCAATGCAATCGCTGTTCTGGTGGGTGAGGGGTCCTCTCAATTATTCCAAGACACTCCGTGTACAGCATATATTTGTGACATATATATATATATACCTAGAACCTGAATGACCTCTATTTTGGACTACCAACCACCCAAAATATGGCCAAACTTCCTATCAAAACAGGGGTCATGTTTGGGTTCCAGGTATATATAGTCTGATCAATTCGATGTCTGTGGGTCGAAGTCAGGATACCTAAGAGGCACATGCCTCTTTCAGGCTAAAGTCACATGGTGTTTCAGAGGTTTCATGGGCACGTTTGGGCCCCCAAGGGTCGGGTGGTGAAAATATGGATCGTGCCAGTGCCATCTACTCTGAAACTACTGTAACTGAAGAGCACGTGTGGGTGATTGTGGGTGTTTACAGCACTTCGTCTTGTTGATCGTCATTCCCCTAGAAATCCATAGGACTGGAACATTGACCGCTCAAAAGCCTTTGAAACCGCCCCAGGCAAATATGCCATTTCCATATATTTCCATGGATTCTCAGGGACTGGATGACTGGATGGAAGAAGGGTTTCTGGTTTGCAGGGGTATCCGGGATCCTGCATGGATTTGGCTTACCTATCATCTCTCTTGCACTGCCTTCGGCTCCGCAAGAGATGCCTCCCAGGTGGCTGGAGTCTTTGTGGGCGCCGAGCAGCTGCAGAGGTGCCTCACTCTCACTCCCTGGGCCAAACTTGAGACCTGCCATGGGCCAAACGTGAGAACTGTCGGAACAAAAGGGCAGTACACTCCGACTCTCAGATGGAAATCAGAGTTTGGAGTGTTTTGAGCGGCTGATCATGTATACCCTCCATCCAACGAACATGCAAGTGGACAAGAGCAACACTCCGATGAACACATCACATGAAAGTGGATGCCACCCCCTTGTTCGTAAAGGAAAGTCGTCGTCCTTTCAGGGTTTTCCCATCCACTTCCGCTGTGTTCGCCAGAGTGTACCCCACCATCATGGTAGGTTGAGTTGACCATGTCTGGTGACGTTTAGTCTATTCGGTTCACATTCGAGAAAAAAATGGTTTGGACTCACAGCCTCAGCCACATTGACACCTGAAATCATCCCAAATGTACGTGCCAGTCCTGAGTAGATGCACTGCTGTCTGGCAGTGCGTTTCTTTGGTGTTTGCAAGTAGCTCGTTTGACTTCTACCAGCACCCAACTCTGGTTGGTCCCCACCTGCCACCTTGGGGTCGTCGTTTCAGCGACCCCGCCCGAACAGCTCAAGGAGGAGACCGGAACAGCTGGTGGACCGAAACTCTTGGCGCAGGCGCATCCTGCGCGCACGCGGGCGCGCACACGGGCGTGCCCAGTGACATGGCCGGTGGTTAGGTCATTTAGTATACCTAAGAATCCTCGGGCCCTCCATGGCGGTCGGACTCGACACCGAAACGCAGGGGTCCGGACCCGAAGGAAGCCTTAGACGGCCTAGACGTATTTGAGGGCCCGGATTTCTTAAAGGTAATATATTATGGACGTAGCCTCAATCAAATCACGGGGGGGTCGATTGGTATGTCCACCAATGACGATAATGACGCTTCGATCGATCTTGGCGATGTGGCATGATTGGGAAGTTGGTCCCTCAGCCGGGTCGTCAAGGGGCCGATGGGCCATGATGGGCCTGGTCCGGTCGTACCGAACCGGACCCGGTTCGGTACGACCACGGACCCTGAAACCAGCTGTCCATCATAAGACACCGTCCCTTCACTCCATGTCACCCTGAACCGCCGTTCGTCAAACCACGGGCGAAACCGGTGGTTTGGAGCGAAGTGGACGGCCTCCAAACCTCATTCAGCTCAGTATCAAACATCAAACCTGCCGTAAGTCATGGAGGATCGCGTATCGCTGGATTGCATGTAAAAGACGCAACTGGTTCAATCAAAGAAGATCCAACACGTTTCCCGTTTCCCTGAGTCATTTCACTTTGCACATCATTCCGCTCCATCAAAAGAAGCAGGATTTTCCAATTTTAAATCAGGCTGGTGCTTCATTCCTATACTATATGCAAATGAACGATGACCCCCAAAAAAATGTCAATATTTTATAATATTTTTGGATCCAGCCCCAACCGGCCCCAGCCTTCCCTTCCTGAGCTTCCCCTGCGACCTCTCCAGGCTTCAACGATCCCCATCCGCCGGGTCCACCTCGTCTTCAACGCCGAGAACGTGCCCCGGTGACCACGAGCGCTCCGTCGACCGGGCCCGCGCGGAGGACGAGTGGGAGCGATGCCGGAGTTCACCCGAAAGTGAGATTGAAGTGAGAGGGCCGGAGCAAAGCCGATCAGGGTGGTTGTTTCATGTATTTTTTTGATTTCGTTAGTTGCTTGTTTTTGTTTTTGTTTACTAAATATCTATTTTAGAGGCCTGCTGACATGAATTGGTTGGTTCCACAGCTATGGCAGTTGCCTTCACCAGAGGCTCAACCAGAGTTATTCGAGGGTATTCGCGGCGTTTGTAACCTGCAGATTGCAAGTAAAGCTTGACTGCAACGATCTGCTTCCCCTGGGCTTCCAATCGCCATGGATTTTTTGTGGCTCCTACCAATAGAAACCATGGTTTTCTAATGTGTTCTATGGTACCATGTTCTATGATTTGGATAATGGTGCACCAGGTCAACCATATGAAAAATGGCCCATTGGACTGTCAGGTCAGGGCCGTTCCCAGAGCTTCTCAGGGCGAATTCGGAATCATCGTGTACCCGACCCTGGCCAGTTCACTCCCTAACGCTGACCATCTGGATCCATTTGGAAGTCTTTTTCATGTGTTTTTTCTGTTACCACGTGGGCTTTCTTGGTCGGGTCTCTTTGGGAGAACGTCGGAACGTGGCGCCTCACCACTGAACGCGAGTTCTTTTCGCAGCGTTTTGCTTTTCGCGTCGCGAGACCGTGGCAGTGTTTCTGATCTCAGCTGCACTCGGATGGATTATACTATACCTACAGGATGCGGGAACTCCAATCGATCCAATGGGTGGTTTGTATTCGGCATGCATCATGAATCAAAGACACATGTTTCTGATGCATTGACATCACCACGCTTTTGGGTGGTGTTGCCCTGAGTACATGATTTCCAGCGGCACGGTGTGATATCACATCACATCCGTTTTCATGACTCTTCATGACTCAGGTGTGGGCCAACTTGCAACGAGGCCGGCGGTGTTTTTGCATGGAGACGTGGTTTGTTCTGAGGATGATGGTGAGATTTGATGCGATTTGGGCTCGCTATATAGTCTCTTAGTCGGGTGGAAGATTCTTATGAAGGCCGGCGTCCCGAGGATTTAAGATGAACCTGCACGAGTTCTCAAAGTGAAGTCACACGATGAAAGACTAAGAGCAGTTCCATGTCGGAGTGCTTATATCACGGAGGAAGTCGGGTGCACAGAACATCCACTCACTTCACTTGGATTGAATGCCACCCCACATGCAACTCCTGCAGAATAATTTGCACTTTTTTTGCATGGCTTGCTTTCGCTCAGATATGCCATGCAAAAAGAGGCCTGCCATACTTGCTGGATTCCCTATCAAATCTGTTTGAAGTACAATGTTTAAAGTCTGTTCAGCGACTACATGTTTCAGGTGCCCCATGCCCGGATTCAGGTGCCACATCCCAATCCGAAGACCGAAATCCAGCCCACCCGCACCCGAAGACCACCGTAATCGAGTCCAGTCGCTGCAACTCAACCCATCCAACCTGAAGACCCACACACGAACGCACATGGAAAGAAGTCGATGACCTAGCTGAATGCACATCGCGCCACA